TAATGCCGCGTTGCTCCGAGTGAAATAACAGAGTGATAATCGCGCCGTGGTATTCGCCAAATACAGCCGTCCATTGATCAACAATCTCCTCCGTGGCTCTCCTCCTCCTACCGCACATACTCGCCAAGCCCCAGTCACAAGTGGAGCACAACATGATGAATTAATGCGAGTGCGTGTTTGTTGTCTTTTGCAGTGATGGGAAGAAGGCAGCAGGAGTGCGATGCCGGATCCAACGTCGGATGATCAGCATCAGCATCAGCAACACCAGCAGCAGCAGCAGCAGCAGCACTGTTGCATGCATCGTCGTCAACAACGTAATCGGGGCCCCTCCGCCATGTCTAACCGGGCCCCCAGGGAGCACCGATTCGTCGTTGGTTTCGTCCTTGTCGTCTACCTGGCAGGAGTGGGCTGGTGCCACGCCGAGTCGCAGCAGTGCGCCGTTGGCCTGAAGACACCAGGGCGTGAGTTTATCCGTATTTTCTCTTCTACCTTTCAAGCGACTTGCAAAGCTGAGTACAAAGTGACGAGGTCGTGCATTAATCGTCGCCAAAATATAGGAAGTGCCGTTGGAAATCTATCACAACGAAGGGCAGTACTTAATATTCTAGGATCCTTGGTATTTATGAATGAGCGTTTCTCCCTAAGATTTTCAGGGAATGCAGTCTTGCGCGGAAAATATAATAAGTGAATCGATCGGTAAGCCGGGCCCAAAATGGCCGCCGCAACGTGCTCATCTGTGTTAGTCAGCCGAGCGTGAAAAATCTCGATCCCGGACTATTTGTTTACGCTTGCGCGAGCAGACAAAAGGGACCCGTCGTCTTGTACGGCATTGGAAGCACGAACACGAAGTTCGGTAACAGATGCCTTTTGCTCTCTGACGTTTACAGTACGCGACGAGGTCTATATATATATATATATATATATATATATATATATATATATATATATATATATATGTATCTATCTATCTCGTAATTTCACCTTTCAATCCGCAAATGGACAAGAACACTTTTCTTCTTTCCTTTACCGTCCGAACTCGATGATCGCGCGTACAGAAGAAGCTTGGAAGATTGTATCGTGATATCCGCTTATCTCCTCGGGCTAATCGTCATCGTTATTTAAGGTCGAAATATTGCTTTCCGTGTATCCACATTTAAGTGAACAAGTGCTCGTAAGGGTTCCTCTGTTTAAGGGAGACATTTCTTTTTCCTTATTCATCGTCATCATCATCATCTTCTTCTACTTCTTCTTCTTCTTCTTCTTCTTCTTCTTCTTTTATTTTGTTATTTTTCATTGTTTGTACGAGAAAGATATATACTCTTAGAGCCTTGTGACGGCGTGGGCACACGAGATAAAAAAGCATCACGATCCGTAAATGTTGCGTCTGATTCAAATCTATTTTTTGAGAAGTGTGTTCATTTTTATTTTCAAATCCCAAGGCGCTCGAAGGCGTTATACAATTTTTATACCATTATAGGCATTTTGTGCCAAAGAGCGTTGTCTTTTCATTTTTATTTGTTTTTTTTTTGTTCTGTTCACTTTTTTTATTTATTTTACATATTTTACAAAATTTTGCGCTATTTCGTTTGATCCAAAAAGTAAAATAAGAAGAAAACGTCAAATCCTACCTAAGAGCAACGATTCCTTACTTGTTGCTACAGCTTACATTTTTATTTTTCGATTGGCACTATTTTGTTAGAGCGAAAAACTTGTTTATAATGCACGCGCGCATATATATCCTTAACTGAAAAAAGCGGCTATTGACCACTGCCTGTCAATTTAAATATCTAATTGTACAAATACAAATAATAAACGACGCGATTAATAGTATTTGTATAATATTTAATCTTCTTTAAAATAGATTGTTATGATTGCTAGTTAAATACCGTGTCAGTCACAGAACGTATTTAATGTATCAGATAAATCATTGAATACTTATTCGTTTTGTCGAAACCACGATTTTCTAAGCATATCGTATGATTTTACTCGAAAATTCGACGACTCGTCAAAATACCAGCGCCATGTACAATTCCTTGAAAAATATAACGCAAATTTATAAGTATAAAATAACGCACACGAATGAATTCCCGATTGCCTTGGCCTTCCTTTGATTTTACAAAACGCGATCTTCTGCGCGAAAAATGCGTTCTGCAGCATAAGCCGTTAAAAAGAAAATTCAGTCGCAATGCTTAAAATAAAAGCATACGAATATCAATTTATCATGATATCGCGTAAATAATGTAAAGCACGTAAGCAATGATCGTCCACTGCTATTCCCCTCGTAACATCCCAGGTGACCGCCCCGAGCTCTAAAGCTGGCGTCCGTTTATCTTCTATCAGGACACCAATTTCCAAGAGGAAATATCCATTAGTTCATTCGTAATTGTTTAATTACGTAAATTATCTCATATTGGTTTAATTTCTCACCTCAAGCGGCGTCGACCACAATTTTTCTTCCCTTTTGCAAATTACTTTCGATGAACAGTGATACTGTGATGAGAAAATTTGTTTTTGAACAACACGTAAGACGAACTATGCTATGCGAAGAGAAACAAATAAAAAGCAAAACAAAAACAAAACAAAAAAATTTCTAAATTTTGATACTGTCGATTAAAAAATAAGATGGCGACATTCAATAATGGCCAATGCTATCGGCGTCAAACAAAATATTTGCGATTATATTATTTTTCATTAATATTGGAGTTTTATGTTGCACATTATTTTCCACGATGGCCAAAATCTACACCAACATTATTTATTAAGAGAATTAGTATTTAAATACTGGATACACAGTATCGATGAAATATAATTCATCGTTATCTATCGTTTAATTTCAGCTTTAGCCGTATCTTAAGTGTAAAAAATATATTGTAAACTCAATAATGGAATAATTGAAAAGGTAAAAAATTAATCAACTTGATATTAGATAGATGCTAACATATTTTGAATGTCGAATGATTTATTATTTAATAATTATTACTAATACGTTTAGACTTTAATTGAATCGAAATTTTTTTAAGCATTTGTTATTAAGCTATTCAAAGTTGACTTACTTTATTGCTCGTATACAGGAGCCGTATTTTTGCAATATTGTGCATTTTCAAATTTGCTTATATTACATTCTTAATTTATGTTTCACATGTTTGGTTAGGAATAAATATTTACGTTAAATTTTATTTTCTCAATTTTGTTTATATGACAATCAATTATATGCGCCAATTGATGTACTTTGAAAACAAAACATCAAACGAGACACACAAATATTTAGTCGTACTTTGAACGAATCCAAGGATTTTCTTCTGAAAATAAAAGAACACTTGCTACCATCCGTAAATATGTCGAGACCGCGATGGGGAATGAAAGGGGAAGAGGAGAGAGAATTGTAAAGAGTCCGTTAAAAAGCAAAGGCCAGAGAAAAAGAAAGATCCAACAAGAGACACGACAAGAAAGTCGCGCTCAGGGTTCTCGATCGGCATCTGTTATCGATCGACCGATAAATCGCGATCGTAAAACAACGCCGAAGAGGAAAAAGAGAGTCACGGAGCTACAATTTTTAGGGTACTCGTACGTGGGAAGCGCGTATGTACGTTTACCACTATTTCCACAGACGAGAAACTGAAGGCGCGGGAGGAAATACTGCGTTTATAAATAAAACATATTATGGAACGAAGAGGTTGTCGTCGTCGTTGTCGTCGTCGTCGTCGTCGTCGTCGTCGTCGTCGTCGTCGTCGTCGTCGTCGTCGTCGTCGTCGTCGTCGTCGTCGTCGTCGTCGTCGTCGTCGTCGTCGTCGTCGTCGTCGTCGTCGTCGTCGTCGTCGTCGTCGTCGTCGTCGTCGTCGTCGTCGTCGTCGTCGTCGTCGTCGTCGTCGTCGTCGTCGTCGTCGTCGTCGTCGTCGTCGTCGTCGTCGTCGTCGTCGTCGTCGTCGTCGTCGTCGTCGTCGTCGTCGTCGTCGTCGTCGTCGTCGTCGTCGTCGTCGTCGTCGTCGTCGTCGTCGTCGTCGTCGTCGTCGTCGTCGTCGTCGTCGTCGTCGTCGTCGTCGTCGTCGTCGTCGTCGTCGTCGTCGTCGTCGTCGTCGTCGTCGTCGTCGTCGTCGTCGTCGTCGTCGTCGTCGTCGTCGTCGTCGTCGTCGTCGTCGTCGTCGTCGTCGTCGTCGTCGTCGTCGTCGTCGTCGTCGTCGTCGTCGTCGTCGTCGTCGTCGTCGTCGTCGTCGTCGTCGTCGTCGTCGTCGTCGTCGTCGTCGTCGTCGTCGTCGAATTCCTTGCCTCGCGATTCTAAGGGCCGAATTTCATCTATTTATGGTTGCGCTTGCTCTTCAATTTTCATTCAATCTCTCCCCATTCGCCATCCATTGTTTCGCTCCTCTCTCTCTCTCTCCCCCTCTCTCTCTCTCTCTCTTTCTATCTCTGTCTCTCTCGTCGTGTTCGTATTTAATAATGCATCAACCAGCCTATTCTCCCTCGGATGAATATTGAACTTGTTACGAGAGAGGAATTGGAAATGAGGTGCTCCGCTGGTAGCGTTTCTTCGGAATAGATAATGCCAGATCATCGCATCGAGTACGCGCACATAAGTTTCATTTAAATTTCTGGATTAAGTCCGGACGCTGCGTAATCCATTTGCTATTCCAAGCTGTATATTCAAATGCACGTGAGAAAGAGTTTCTTGACACGTTGGTAGATTTTCTTTGATCATCTACCGATCGACATATTAAGCGACTAGCATTGTCTTGCTCTCAGTTCGAATAAAGATGAACTGGCAGACTTTCAAATCTATATTTCATGGCGCATCCAATTTTCATGATGATGAAAATGGACTTAATAACGAAATTCTTCTTTTCTTAGTATCGGCAGTAGTATCTATCTATCCGAAAAGAAATTCAAAAAGATGATGTCTTAAAAAAAATTTTTTTTGATTTCATTTAAAAATGTTTATTTAATGCCTATTGAAATATTATGTAAATTCTAAAAATAGGAAATTAAATATTGTTGCGGCATTATAAATGAGCAATCTTAGGTTAATTACATATGCTTGAACGATGATTCAAATATTATAAAGCCACAATGTTTATAAGTTACAGTTTAATTAATTGCTAAACTATAAATATCGTATGAACGTTATTATGATTACTATATGATTTTGAATTTTTAATGTGCAATTTGGCTCATAGCCGGATACAATAGCACAAAGTATCTTAATCTGAGATAAGATTTGATTTAATTATTCGATCTTTAATATATATAATATCTAAACTATATGTAACGCTTTTCCTAGTCATTATACGATTCGTACGCACATAGCACACACCAATCACATACCTTTAAAGAATCGTAATGTTGCAATAAGACCCGTGAATTGTGTTACAGGAACTTGGCCACCCGGCGACATCGTCCTGGAGGATGGCAGCTCGTTGCGCATACTTTGCATCCTCAACAAGACGTTTATCGAGGCCTCGTTCCCGGGCAAGAACTCGTCGGACCTTGTGTTCTTCAAGGGCCACCGGCAGATCGAGCCGGAATTCATAAGTGTACTCAACGACACGACCATACAGCTGGACGTAAGCAGGCCACCACCCGAGAATGCCATGTATTACTGCAAGCTCAGACTTGACAAGACCTACGACAAGGATTACGAGGCTGTATGCCTTAACAAGGTCGTCGTCGGATGTGAGTTTTTCTTTCACATTTAAGCTTTGCGTATCGGCATTAAGGAGGAGAAGAAAGTGATTCGCCGAGTCGCTTGGATTACCATAGATATAACGATTTTTACGGAATATGTGGATACACGAACTTTAATTATATGATATCTCTTTTCTTCGTGTAATAAAAGTGCGATCGCCGTGTCGAGATAAAAAGAATACCGGGAAGAAGAATAAACATTAATGTATGCATAATATGTTAATGCACGGTCGATGCTCGTAACGGATCGAACACGGCTCAGACTATTACATTACGGGTTTCTTGTTTTACTTTTTTCTTTCTTTCTTTTTTCATTTAATTTATTTATTTACTTATTTATTTATTTTGAACCAAAAGTAACGATTATTGCACTTTTTTACCTGAACGATTTCGAATGTTTTCCACTTATGTTATATGCTCTTTATGAATATTTAAAACTTCAATTTTAGCTTCAAGTAAAGCCGGCATTTTTATTTATTCACTAAGAATTTCCAGAAATACGAAGGTTTTGGACGTGATGTAATAACCATAATGCATTCATCGTAACTGATTTTCGATCTTTCATATGAAATATTATTTGCATAATTATCATTGACATCCCGCACATTACTTCAATTTTTAAAAATGCTGCTGTCAGTATTTCGAACTAAATACTTAGTATTAAATGAATATATATATATATATATATACATATATATAGGAAGATTCCATAATAAGTGAATATTATTTCCAATATGCGAATCAAAATATGTTTACTTCGGTTGATGCGAAGGAGGCCTTTCTCGCACGAATCTTTATTTTTTTCATTTTTTTTGTATGTTATTAAAGCCGATTCTCAATTGGTGAAGTCAAATACTTTTGCTTGACGATTCTTAATAAAAAGCGTATGCTTTTAAGATGTTTAAATAGCGAAATTAGCACTAACATGCCAATGGCTCTTGCATTAAAGGACGCACGCGTTTACAAAGGTGACTATACTCATTAAAAAACGAGCGCGAATGACATCCTCGTCCTCGTCGATATATCTCCGGATCCTCGTTCGTAATTCCATGAAAGGCAGCGTCGAGGTGGGGGTAGAAGAGGATAGAAACGGATAAAAAAAGGAAATAGTCAGCGATTCGCGTAAACCACGGGGAGCGCTTCATTAGTACTGCCCCCCCCCCATCTTCGATAAGCCATGAGATTTCTTATCGAGCGCTTCCAGGAAATACCGATTGCGCCGACCGCTGCTTATCTACTGGGAAGAGGCTCCGATAATAAGCATTTGCCGTTGACGTTGTGGTCGTTGTGCCGCGGCGAACGTGAAATCGAAATGAGCGAACAAGTGCTCTGGCGCATCGCTCGGGTAATATTACATCTTGCGCACTCAAGGAAATGATGAACCGGCGCTTGTCACGCGAATTACCGCGAGTACCTTCATTAATGCCGATAAATTTATGTTCATTGGGGCTGAATCTTTTTCGTATTTCTAAAATTTTTATTTAGAACTAATACCGGCAAACACTGGTGGAAGAATTGGTCTATTATTTCAAACACTAAAAATAAATGTGATTAACTGTCATTCCTCAAATATTAAGCATTACTTTAAAAAGCGATTACCTTATAGGTATGTATTAAAAAAATTAAATTCTAATAAATAACGAAAATTTTGAGAGTTTTGTATAATTATTTGTATAACAGTAGTATATATACAGAAAAATTATTAAAAAGTTTAAGATCAAAATAAAACTCGAATCGTAAGTATGAAGTTTTGTGTGTGTGTGTGTGTGTGCGCGCGCGCGTGTGTATTTGGAAATGTACTATTTTTCAAAGATTTAATAAATTAATTATAAATTCAACAAGAAATATTGTCAATCAAACGAGTATGTACTCGCGTGGACACACTCACATACTTGTAAACAATTATGGCAAAAGAAAAAGGCAATGGAATATTATCCCGCATATCTACCATTATTTGTATAGTACAACAATTCATATATATATATATATATATATATATATGTATATATATATAATTACGATGATAATTTGTAATGTTTGAAAATGATAACAGCTTATTTAGCTAACATTATCAAACAAGTAAATTAATAAAATGAATTAATGATAATAAAACGAGTCGACGTAACTCAGTTACGTGTAAGTACAGCGAATTTATGAAAGCGTGCCGAAATTAATTTACAAATAATAGAAAATATAAGGAACAAAGAATTTGTTAACAGCTAATATTTATACACAATCTCGACACAGTGATATTAGAATTAACGTTACGTGTCAATTGAGGAAACTCAATACACTGTTGAGACGAAATTATAAGGGTTAGTGTTAATCAAATTCTTCGTCTCATCTCATACTATCCACACACCCGTCCCCTCGCCTCCCTCATATATTCTTGTTTATGTTCGATCCACAGACAAGCCGCAGGCAGAGAACTTCACGTGCATGTCACAAAACTGGGAGAACCTCACCTGTTCGTGGGATCCGCGTGACAACAACGTCGACACCGTCTATTCGGTAACGTTCAAACTGCCTGGACGGGCGGGTGGCCGCAAGGTCTACCCGTGCCCCAGCGACGCCCGACCCCCGGAGCCCGGCAAGGACAAACCTCGCAACAGGTGTTTCTGGGATTCGACGACAAACCCTATTTACCGGCAGCCTTACGAGTATTACACGTTCCACCTTATCGGAGAAAACGTCCTCGGCAACTGGTCATACACCCACAAGTTCCATCATTTTGCTTACGGTAGGTGTCGTTAGTTGACTAAATTTCAACACTACTCTTTCCTTCACCAGAATGAATCATGCGTATCTTTTTCATAGATTCTGGACTAAATACGAAAGAATTTAATTATAAAATGCTAATTGTTTGTTCGAATCTCGATTTGCACCGTTTTGGTATTTACTTAATGACATATTGCCTACGAGACGATTCGTGTCTTTAGAATTCGATCTTACTAATACGAGAGCCAAGATCGAGCACAAACGTATTTTTATCACTTTACAGTTATACCAGCGAGGCCAACGAATCTTACCGTGGTGAATAAGACACTCGACAGCGTGATGCTGCACTGGAGCGTTCCATTCCCCATGCAAACCTTCCCCGCAGGGTTGCATCACCGCGTGGCCCACCAGAACCAATGGGACGGCAGGAAGACCTGGCAGGTAAATTACGGTACCCATGAAATGCCTATAGCGCTAATCGACGACTCGCATATGCTCGATGGATTTGCATTCGTCGAAGCGCCGATAGTGAGAGCGATATAGATTTATTTATTGGATAGGTGCGGGTGGGTAGTAGATCGATTGTAATTTATTGACTAATCGATTGATCGCTACCGGATTTCTTCGCATTCTTCGGCGGACGTCTGCTTTCTTAATCGGTTCATTAAAGCAACACGGAGAGAAACTTCCGCGAAACGATGCTAATTGCAGCGAGAGCTCTCAATGGCCTCAGTGTGCGACGATGCGCGAGAGGCGTCTTTGTCGTTCGATTTAAAAAAAAGCCGAGAAACGTACGAACGAAACGAGGGTGACAGTGAGAGAGCGACGATATTCATGGTTCCCAAACTAGCCATATTTCGCAAGAATCGCGCGATAAATAACGCAAGCCGTGGAAGTCTCTTGACTGCTTATCGACCATCAGCGCGTACGACGAGCCTCGATCGCATCGGCCCGATAAGGAAAACTGATGCGCGCGAAGCAGAATTGGGTCGGCTGCGCGAAATGGGAAACTTGATTTTCGCCTCAATTAAATTGGATTCCTTTATATCTCCCACCTAGTCTCTCTTGTAAACTCGCGATTGCATCGCTTGCCAATGTCGCCGATTTAGCACGAATTCCTTGATGAATGATTTACTTTATTTCACAGTGCTTCTCATGTTTGGACTTTTATCAAGACGATTATATTTACGATTTTATATAAATTGCAGCCTTGTTCGTTATCGTCGTTCGAGGTATTTCATCGAATGCTACGCGAATTAATATATTTAATGAGCCTCGTGGAGCGACCGATCTTCATTAAGCAGCGATGTATTAAATTCGCCATTTTTGTTGACTCGCGTGCATTTTCCTTTTCACTTTTACGCATGCTTTACCGTTAAATTTGATAATTGTATCGATAATGTTTTAAGAGTCAATACAAGTCTCTGTAGTATCATATTGAAGTTTATGTTTAATGCGAATCGTGTTTATATTATTTCAAATTGATCGTTATTTTTTCTTACTTTGAAATACAAAGATATTATTGTGCGGCACTTTCGTCGCTTATGCTCGTTACTGTAGAATTTTAATATCCAATATGAAATTTTAAAGAAGATTACATTAATGATTTCATATTCAAACTTTACATAGGGATATTTCCATTTTAATCGAATATTAAATAAAGTATTAAATTGAAGAGGAAAATATTTTTTCCTGATACTTAAATTCTTTGAAATGTTTTTCATATGTCTGATATAAATTCATGACATATTATGATAAGGATATCTCATCCCTTATTAGGCTTTAATATAGGACATTAGTATTTCATCATATTAAGTATTTAAAATTAATTACTTAATTATTAAATAAATAAATAAATAAAAACATCGCTCGTGTAATGCAGATTGTAAACATTACGGATGAGCCTCACAATCCAAAGAGATATTACAGTCTTACTGGACTTCAGTACGCCAATGCGATTTACGACGTCAGGGTTTACATCAAGAGTGCAGTTGCCAGCGGAGATGATAAGTGGAGCAACTTCAGCGGCGTCACTTTCCGAACACCAGCCAGAGGTGAATTTTACATTTACTTTAGCATATTTAAAATTGTAGATTGTAATTTACGGTGAATTTTTTACAATCGATAAATTGATTTATTATGATTAGAACTTCTGATGCTTTGCAAAATTATACGAGTAATACGCCCGTAAAGTTTATATTGAAACCGAGAATGTTTAATTACCATTTAACGGAATATCATCCTTTTTACAAAGTTAAGGATTTATAAATGAATAAAGTAGAAGATTTAAGGCTCATAAAAAGCTTAAAAATAAATCTTATTTCATTTGAAGATTGACATTGTTAATAGGCATATGAATTTTCTTAGTTTTATAAATCTCAGAAGATACGCGTGACTTATGCCATGCATTTATTTTCAAAGTCATTACAATAAATCCGGTTTTTTTATGTAAAAAAAACTTTGTAACCCATTGGTTCACTTGTTTGTGCCAAATCAAATTATACGACTTTTCAACTTATCAGCATAATAAATGTATTTACACACAGAGTGATGGTTCTGTTTTAATGAATTACTATTTGAAATGCATATAAAAGAGCGAAGACCACTAATGAGAATTCATGAGGAAAGCTCGAACGCTAAATAAGTAGAGAACTGTAATAGGCAATAGCGCTATTATATAAATCACTACCGAAATATTTATCGGCAACCCGATTATCTTCTAGTGCCCAGCCAATCGCCACGCACGGATGTTGGTAGCTTCGAGGTTTCGGAAAATAACATCAACCGCGACGTGTATTTGTACTGGCAGTCGATACCAGCCCACCTCGAAAATGGCAACAACTTCCGCTACCAGGTAATCCACGTGGAGGAAAACGGCCAGCGCATCGGCATTGCCCCCAACGAAATCACCCGTACGTACGCTAAGTTCCGGGGATTGGCGCATCACAGCAGCTACCACTTCGAGATCGTTTCAAGCAACGACGTCGGCATTTTCGATAAGCCCACCAAAGTCTTTGTTCCCAGTCGCTATTCAAGTAAGATTCTTTATCGTTTGGGTTTCTTTATTTCAAGACTCGCTTGTGGAATTTAAGAGCTGGAAATTAGCAACCTCGTGCCACAATTGTCGGAACACGCGAAGAAAAATAATAATTTCAATTAGCAAAATGGTTATTACCATTTAATTTTATTGAAAAGCTGAGAGTCAAATTGCACACGTTTCTCTTGAAGAATTTGCAAGTTATAACAAAGATAAGAGCATTATCTCGTCCATCTATACAAATAAAAAATAAAAAATAAAAATAAAGCATAGAGCAGATAGAAGCGAAGGGAAAATTTTAATTTTATTGATGATTTCACTTGCCTCGCGGTCATTTTATTTATTTTGAAAAACAATGTGCAACCATGAATAAATGAATATTTTACTTTTAAAGTTATGTATTTACAGTCTAAATTACTTTAGCTATGTTCAATTGTCCGTTTGTTTTCAAATGTAAATATTATTTTGAACAGCTATTTTTAAAAACTACACATAATACAGCTTAATATTGTAAGAATTCAAATATATCATTCTATTTTATTCAGTTTAACAACAACAACAAAAATAAAAAACAAATAAAATACATTCTCATATGTATATTACCTATAAATATGTTATTTAGTATTATACCAGAAGTTGTATAAGTGTAATATTTATAAAATGTTTAGTTTTAATATTAAAGGCTTTCGTCTTATAAAAAGTTTTACAATACAATATAGTATTACTGAAAATTTTCCGATAAAATTAATAATAGCGATTGCCAGTGACATTGATCATTGACTTAATATAACATTACTTGTAGTTGATATAAGAAGAAATTGTTGTCTAATTTAGAATATATTTAACATTAACATATTCAAAATTACTTATTGCATACGTTGGAAAATTTTACTTTTCAAAGTATATATTCAGCATGTAATACAAGCCAATAAACACAATCCATTCGGTAATTATATAATTATATTGTTGAAGGAGAATAAAATTAGTTCGCAAATTTGCAACGCATTACAATTTCATTAACTCTAAAATACAGTTGAAATTTTATTAAAAATGTGATAACATCGTTTCTTTTCATTTTTTTTCTGTTTTATTATATTTTTATATTTATTTTCGCATTTGTTTGATTATTTAGTACCGAAGGAGCCAATAGCATTTACAAAAATTGCTTTTGATGATGGATTGTACGAATTATCGTGGAAACCACCAATTGGAGGTGACGATGAGATAACGAATTATACTATTTTCTGGTGTGAAAACGATAGGGATCGACCTTATCAATGTCAAGTAAGTATTTTTAAAATTTTTTGCTTAAAGATAATCTTTATCAATTATACTTGTTAGTGTTCATTTCTAAAATAATTTTTGCATGTTTAATGTAATCCAAATTCAAATATTTTCAAAATTTTGAAGAAACTATTGATTATTTCACAGATATTTTTATTATACTTAAAATCATAAGCTTAATAATATTTATGAATTTTTTTCAAAGTCACATTTATATAAAATAAATTAAGTTGTTGTATTGCGAAACAATTGTCATAAACGAATTATTATATTTGAACATTGAAATATTAATTTTGGGAACTTTTAAAGATTAGATAAAAGTCTTTTTTTATATTCGAGCACTTCACAATGTTTCATTTACTACTGTTCTCTACTATGTATAAATTATTTATAATTGAATATCTTTGGTTAATGATAACGTAATAGAACTTGTAATGATTCATGCAAACAAATCAAAATAACCTTTACAGATATTGTTTTAAAGAATTTGCTTGATGATTTCGAAATTATCACCAATACATTAATTATTATTATCATTGTGATGTAATTCTGTAATTTTATATTTACCAAAGTACTTTTTCAATTACAAAAATATTATTGATTAAATGGAGTGTGAGGATATATATATATATATATATATATATATATATATATATATATGTATACATTGATTTCGTATATACATCTACCTGTTGTCAATTTTTAAATATTATTCTCGAATTATAGATAGATTGTAATCATAAAATTGTAATATAAATGTATCTAAAATACTTATAGATTTTTTATATGTGAATTTTATACTTTCCATGAACAATAACTGCACGGCTTCTAAGTATTTATATTTACAAAAATACCAAATCACCGTAACCAATATTTTCGCACAATAAAAAAAAAATAAAAAATACTAAATCATTTATGCTTGATCCAAATGTAAAGGGATATCTCGAGTGGTTGCACGTATCGAAGATGTCAACGGCTCACAATGTCACGGTGCCCGACCCCAAGCGCGTCTATCAGTTCGCGATATCGGCAAACACACAGCGGGCGAGCAGCGGAATGGTTTGGGCCTCGTGCACCGTCATTCACAATAAAGTCGTCGGCAAAATGAAAACAGTGTGGATAAACCACATGGATTCGACATTCATCGATGTAAGCTGGAAACTCGACTGCTCGGACCGTATCGGCATCGTCGAGGGTTTCAAAATCTATTACTGTCCGATCGTCGCCCCCCGTAATCTGAACTGCAATGGACCGAAACTCAATACAACTATCAAAGCCGATGTTAACACAGTTACCGGCAAGGTTACCGGACTGAAGCCCTATACAACTTATATGATTGCCGTCGCCATACTTACTAAGGTGAACACAGTTTATAGATTTTACAGATTATGGATTTAATCGTATTTTTGTAAAGGACACGAACATTTCCTCGTGTTTCTTGCAATTTTTAATATTATTATTAACTAACATTATTAGGTAATATATTCACAATAATATTCACAATTCACAGTAATATAATCACAAGTAATAAAGCATCGAATGCGAAAATTCCTTTATTACATTATTTTATTCATTTGCATCGTGTGTAAAATTTTGCCTAATAATGTAAAGATTGGTTTGATATAAATATAGTGTCATAGAATGACACAAATTGATTTGAAATTGATAGCCTAAGAGAAAAAAAGATGTAACTATAATTCAGTTTGGCTTTAGATCGAATTTGGATGAGGCATTAATTAAAATTTAATAATTCGAGAACATAACAAAGAATGGAAAAAGAACTGATATTATACTTAATTAATAAATATTTTAAATAATAAAAGATTTTAAAACGTGTACTTTATGACATACAATTTAAAGGTATTGAGTAATCGCGAAATAAATGTTGCCGCGAAATAAATGTTGCATTAATATTATATTCTTATTGTAATTGTAATTTATCGCGTATTGTATCGCGATTGATCGAATTGTAGCGCCTATATACTTCAATAATAAAAGATGTAGCTAGTGGAAATTCTATATGGTAAAAGAACTTATCAAAAGTAAGGGAAGAACGTATCGCTCTGTTTATCGATGTTACATTGGAATTTTGTGTTTCCATCACTATCTGATATAACGTATGAACGGGCCAATTTTAACAGTCGATTACGTATATTCAATAGGACTTGTTCCTTGCCAATTTGAGCAACGATTTTTTCCCCAACATACATCAATAAAATAATAAAGAGCCCATTTGTTAAGTTGCCACGAGATTTCAGAACTTCCCGTTAACACCCGAAGAAACCTTTGTCCTCCTCCCATTATGTACAAAAATTCGACGAATAAACAATTAAGTCAGGCATTAAAAGAATCGTTGAACAAAAGAAGCTCACGTTGCGCGTGTAATTCAGAACGGCGAGGGCCAGCACAGCGACCCCCTGTACAACACGACATACGAGTCGGCCCCGAGTGATCCGCCTCGCGACATTGTCGTCCACAACGTCACTAACACAACGATGTACCTGGAGTGGAAGAGTCCCGTCGCGCTCAACGGCATGCTGCGCTACTACGTCGTGCATTATAACGAGCACAGGCGAGTGGTGAACGAAGTGCCACGGGTCGAGCTGCGCGGTCTCCAAGCGAACCGGAACTACAGCCTCAGGGTCAGCGCCTGCACCGTCAACTGTAGCGCCGAGTCCGAAGCCGTGCATATTCTTACCGGCATCGGCGTACCCGGTAGAATAACGCCACCCACCGTGAGATTCGTCAATTCGAGTCAGGTGCGGCTGCTATGGATGAGGCCGCAACTACCCGCCGGTCCTCTCGATTACTTCCAGATAAAGAGCAACGACGGCGAGATACAGAACACCACCAGCCTAGGTACGTTATGCAATGTAATACTTTAAAATAAAAAATAATTGCCATATTTTTGAGCTACGGATTATTTGGTGAGATTATTGTAGCTAGTTAATAGCTAGCTAGCAGCCACCTTTCTTTAATCTCGCAAGATTTTGTAGCCCTCGATTTCATTATAGTGGTCGCATTTTACTTAATTAACTCCTGCTGCTCCTTATTTAATAATAATTTTGATTTTAATATTCCATGCATAGAATAAATTATAATTTAAATAGTCGTTATTTATTAATGCGTTATATCGCTTGAGTTATTAACAAAATTATTTATCGATTATCGCTGAAAATGAAGTAAAGCGTAGCTTCGTCAATTCTGAAAATATCAAATATTAATTGTTGGAAAATGAAAATTAAAAGTAATCGTAAACGCACATACGTACAACAATACGTAAATGTATGATAATGTCGAATGAAATTATGCTTAATTTACAGAAGCCTCGCTATCGATTCCCGATTGCAAAACCGTGGGCAGGGAGAAATTGTACACGTTCCAAGTAAGAGCCGTAAATATCGCACCAAATAGCGAGCATCTCTTTGGAAATTGGTCTGACGCTGGCGAGGGCAATTGCTTCAGTAACGGTAATCACTGTCTTTGATTTTCTTTAATAATAAATTTAATTTAATAAGGATTAGTTGTGAACGAGGAATGGTATATTAAAAATGAGTTGTCTGTCTTGTAGGTCCATCTTATCGCGTATGGATAATTATTTGGGTTATTGGAAGTATATGCGGCATTGCATTCGTTTTCTGCGTTGGTTATTCCTCCAAAAGGTATTTTATAAATCTCTCCTCCAAATCCTCGTCTATTATAAATTAAAAATGTAAATTATTTATAATACATTTATTTTTTAAAGATTATGGCTTAAATGCAAAGCGATGCAAGATGTTGAAGTTAAACTTCCACCAGGACTAGCTCCAAATATGGTAAGTTACAATCAATGATTAAAATATTTTCACGAAAGAATAATTTATTTATAGAATTACAAATCATACAAAAGCAGTGCTTAACAAAAATTGTTAGTTTTATTTCGTAGTTAATACACGTTGAATGCAATAAATTACTCTAAATTTTTTTAAATTTTATCTTGGTTTTCAATTTTAATTAATAACAATTTGCGCATACACACGGAAAATTTAAAAAATTGAAGAAAAAAACAAATACTTAAATCAGAGTAGCAATAATTATCATTTACAATTAATTATATTGATAATATACTATTTAATTAATATAATTTACACTCAAAACTATTGTTCAATTTTCTTTATTAATGTAATTCCTGTACATGCGTATGTGCAATTTCAGCTTTGAAATAAATATTGACATGCACTATTCACGGAAAATAATTTTAATTTGTAGACAATGTAAAATATAAACAATAAATCATTTATCCATAATTTAGTGAAAATCATTAATAAATCTTTGTCTTTTGCCTCAGAAACTTTTACAGAAGTCCGGGGAGCAGCATACGCGACAATCGTCAGCTGATTCGAGTGGTTGTTCAAGCGGCCAGGAATCGGTAACTTCGTCATTGACTTCAGACTCGCAAGTGTCGAGTGACAGTGGTGCCGAGGTAGATCCTGTTGTACCGAAGAAGCTCGCTCTCGACGCACCGACGGCTACAGCACCGGCTTGGGAGTCTTCGAGTCTGCGTCAGCGTAATGTGGCTGGGGCAACAAAGCCAAGCCTCGAGGCTACAGCTACAAGATGGGAACCCTATGTTAAGGTTGCCAAAGGCTCCAATGAGCTTATAATACCTACAACACTGCCCGCTGATACTCTGTCACTTGTTAGGTCTACACCAAATCTCAGCGACAACATCGGCTATGTCACTTCACAGCAGACATGGTCTTCCACAGGTACAGCCATAGTTATTCTCTTCTATCTTATTTGACTTGATAAAAAAAAAAAAAAAAAAAAAAGCAAAGCAAACAAAAGATAAAATAATAGAAGAAAACATTGAAAAAACAAGTGGAAAAATTATTATTATCTAATTCTTAAATTATAATTATTATCGTAAATTTGGATAATGTATAGGTTATATCAGCATGCCCTCATCGGAGGAGATGTCGAACAATTCAAGTCCAGTTCCTAAAGAAAATCCAAATGCAGGCAGCTACAGCGTAGTAGGGGTTATATCAAAGTCCCCGATACGTTGCAAATCCGAAGAAGAATCCATTTCATTGAGTAAAACAAGATCTGAAACAGAAAACAAAACAACGACAAATCCATACGTGAGCCTTGTCTCGCTAGAACAAAAATCAAAGGTATATTACAAACTTTTTTTTTTAATAACATTATAACACAAATTTAAAATAATGAAAAAAAATGAAAAGAAAGTTAAATTTGAGATATAAAATGTATTATCTACGTAAAAATTTTTATGAAATATAAATTATAAATATATCTTTGAATAGTAATCTTGAACGCTATTGTGTAATGTTTTTTTTTTCTTTTTTATTATTGTATATGTGGCAACTATTTAAAACATCATTTTCATTCTTCCAGGATAACACAAAGAGAGCAATTGACTCCCTACGGATGTTCGAGGACCTCGGTTTGGACAAGTCGAAACAACAGCCTCAGCAACCGGAAAAGCTCTGGAGGCCGTACGTGCAAACTGGCTTTCTCGAGGTGCAAAAGCCACCGGCGACAAGTCTGGACGCAAGGCGGCAGCCCGAGGATCAGCCAGTTGCCAAGTTTACGATAGGCCAACAACAGGAGGCGAAGCCCTACGTGACCGTAGCATCGATTGCCGAGGGGACGGCACGAAAACCGGAACCGCCCACAGCTGCGCACAAACCCTATGTGCCTGTTACCTCGTTCGTAGGCGGTAATAGCGAGCCCAAACCCACGGGTACTGTGTTTCAGATGCTCCAACAGAGCAAATCTGCGAGTCTGGAGACCTCCGGAACCGCCAGCTCAGATGATCATGATAGAGTCGGGTGAGAAATCGAACGCTTATTCTATTCCTATCGAGTATTTCCAAGTTATTACAAACGCGCATGCCCTCAATTCAAGCTCCAGGGTAACCAACCAATGTTCTCTGGTCTTGAATTCAAAGCTAATAATGCAAGATGTATAATTAGGATTGATTTTAAGGTTACGTTACACGCGACCAGTCACTCACAATCTTCTGAATTTTCGAAGGATTTTGCATTAAAGTTTCCCATATTTACCGAAATTTCAAGATAACGATATAGAAAATAGTCTTGATTTATTACATTTGAATCGATATTTAATCAAATCAAACAATTTTAATTATAATAAACAGTTCGTTTGTACATAACAACAATTTATTGATGTAAAGCCTGAAAAGTAAATAAATAAAAATTGAAATATTCTTTACGATTGAAATTATTTTAACGCTTCACTTGAACGAGGAGCTATATTTCAGATTAAACATTATTATTTATAATGGATACTATGAACATAAATTAAAATTGATATAAATGCATTTCTAGCATGAAAAAGTTACCAATCACCTTAAAAATATCCTTCTTTTTAGTCTGTACCCTTCGCTGGATTTGGAAGCGACGAGGGATGACGAATCGTCGTCGACGTCGTCGTCGTCGTCTGCCTCTTCGTCCTCGACTTCAAGCTCACCGACATCGAGCTTCGTTCTTTGCTGGCAGCCTGGCGATCCGGACGCGCCCAAGGACTATCATCATCTCCACCAACAACAACAGCAGCAGCTTTCCTCACCACCGACGTCGAAACCAATCTCCGGTTACGTAACGCTACCAGAACAGCAACATCAGCCAAAATATCCGAGTCGTTTTGCCAAACCCCAGCCTCCACAACAGCAGCCACAACAACAACAGCAGCTGCTGCCTGCTCAATCCGACGAACAATATAGCAAGGTCGCGGTGGTGCCTCGCACGACGCACTAGTGCTTCCTCTAGCGATAAGTGCCCGCACTGCCTAGAAGCTGGGCACGCCCTTTGACTCACTTTCGCCGTGTTCGTTTATCTTCTTCCTTGATTCGCCCCTCTGGAGCTGTAAACCGATTTTTCTCTTCTCCCTCCGTTCTACGTTAGGATCATGACGCGTCGTTTTAGCACGCCGAGGAGAAAAAAGGTTCCCCTCCCTCCGTGACGAATCTAGCCTCGTTATCGAGCGCACAGCTGATTATTAGCTTTCGACGTTCGAACGTTTGGATGTAGGTTCGTTAGTATTCGACGTAAAAGTAAACTTTCTTAGATCGTTAAATCGAAGTGCGATGATTTTGATGTGAGTAGAGAAACAAAAAATTTCTATACGTTTTGCATCTCGTTGTTTTCATCGCCATTCACTGATATTTTTGTAAATGAAAGTAATAGCCAGGCTTCAAAGTCATACAAAACTTAAAAGAAAAACTCAGAATTCAATATATATGTGCTTTGCTCCCTTTGTATAAGTGTGTGTGCGTGCGTGCGTGCGTGCGTGTGTATAAATGAATATATACGGAGTATGTATCTTTATTAAATCCAAAAAAATTTCCAATTAACAGCTAAATTGAATTAATTCATTGATGAATTATGGAATATTATGGAATGGATAAATAAATGTTAGCAATTTATTTATAATTGAGACTTTTGCAATGATAACCCAACGTTTCAAAACTTATTAATAAGAATTGTATCGATTTATATTTTCAATGAATAACAAATATTTTATTGTTATCTAACTATTGGCGTGTCATTGAATAAGTCCTATGTATAAACGAGAATCAAAATATAGAAATATTTTACTATTTATAAAACAGAGATAACTTTTCTTTGAATGTCGGTTTACGGTTCTGATTTATATTAAGACACGATTCCGAGATAGAAACTGCTAGAATTTTATTAATAATATCTTCGTAATAAAATAATCTTTTGTTATGCAGAAGATGAAATAATCACTGATTAAGTTAATTAATAAAAATTAATCAAATATTGTATATGAATTCATAAATTTGCTTATCCATTTTTTTTCTTTCTTTCTTTTCTTTCTTTTGTTCATTAATAGAAAACTCGAATAATTCATTTTGTCGCAATATTTATCTTAGCTAACTTCATTACGTGTATCCGTTACTACAAATAGTTAAAGTATTTTGTTAATGGACAGAATTTTTTATTGGCAACAAAAAATTCTTAAATTAATAATTCACTTTATATCGCTTATATATTTTAGTAACAAATTGCTGGTAATGAAGAAATTTAACGATATTGCTATATATTTTGTCTTGTATGTTTATTATACTGTAGCAGTTTTTATATCGAAAACGTATCGTTTATGTATAAAAATGTTTCTGTCATTTTTCTGTAGTAATATTAACTCATTAGCACTGATAAATTAAAATGTGTGTTGAATCTATCCAATATAGTGTTCGCCAGCTTAACTGACAATAGTAATTTCTTATACACTGAAACATAATATTATAATTCAATTATAATAATGTGTTTCAAAATACGCCCGAATTTTAGAATTTTTGTCCTTCAATTATTATTTACAATACAAATTGTGTTTTATTGGTACTTAAAGTTATATAAAATAATGTAACAATATTCTGCACGTATTTCTCAAGTATAATATCAAAATACCAAAAATATTTCCGAATTTTTAAGAAACTGTAAATGAATTGTTAAGTATTTTGTATAAAATAGATAAGAACACACAAGTGCTAATAAGCTACATATAAAATAAGTTATTTATATTAATAATAGTTATTTTATTAAACTAGTTTCAATTCATCTTTCAAACTATGAGATTGAATGGTATTTCATTGAAGTAAAATTCTTCCCATAGTTTTAAAGATCAGTTTAAACTATTGTTTAAGTAAAATAACTTTTTAAGACTAAAATAATGAATTGTTTATTTTATCGTTATTTTTTTCTTTGCTCGAAATGAGCTAAAGCGTACCGATAAATAATTGTTCAGATTTTCAAAGACGCGTCGATGTGAATAAATTGTGAGTTTGCTAATCCTACCGCCTCACTTTTAGGATGCTTCACATGGTTTACATTTTGTAATGTACACTTTTCATCTGCTTATTTACACTTCAGTTTAAGCAATACGTCGATTTCAAAATATTATAGTGGCTTAAATAGATGTACTGTTCTCATCTAATTAAGTTTCTCTTATATGAAAATTGAGTAATGAAAAATTCATTATTAAAATCAGTAAACCTTCAGTTGACGAAAGGGACGGTAAGATTTTAATGAAAGAAACAATGCTCAATTTATTTGCATCGTCTATAACTATCTTTTTTATGCGATAACGTAAGATGTAAAGTAAAATAACGAATGGTCAATCGTGCTCAGTTTCTGGTGAATGGTAAGCAAGGGCTATTAAAGATAAAATTAAAATAATAAGACTTTGAATAAAATGTAATCAGCAAATGAACATTCAACGTCCTCCATACGATTCTGTATTGTATCGAGATGAAAGGGTTCTATCTCAGTTTTTGCGTAAAAATAGATGAAATCGAAATTATGTACAAATCGTAAGACTTTTGTATTGTAATTAGCGTGTCAGAAGTTTTGTAGCTTATTAAGCTGTACCTACAGGATGCCATTCTTATCGATCTTGAAATACAAAAAAATGCATGTTCAAATTGCGAGTTATTCCAAAGTCAAAATTCCGTTGCTATGTTCCGTGTATTGAATTTAATGATTATGTAAAAAACTTTTGGATACTCATATGTAATGTTTCTCTTTGTAACGTTGCTGCTTGATTATTTAAAAGAGTTATGTCAGAAGGAAAAAATATTTCTAATTGCGATGTTTCGATTTGTCATAAGTTTCATGATATAAAATAATTTTACTTATTTTTTTTTAACCGTTGAGATATATTTTTTAATATCGATAATTCGTTTAATCGTTTGAATTTAAAAACGAGTTGCTTTTAGATTTCTCTTATTGGTTATGTAAGTATTTTACAGCCAAACTCTGCCAGTTATTTATATGCAGTTCATTAATGCGTAAAATAGAAAATAAAATATGTAACTGCCGACATGAAGAATTCGCTGCATGTACGTATATCTTAAGTTAGTCATTATATACAATACACTCGACGACTTTTCATTTCCATTTGTAAGAAACGATTTTTTCTTTTCTTTTTGTTACACATGCATGGATTTAGCTTTTTTGTTAGTCGTTCCTTACGAAATTTGTAAATGTTACATATTTTCGCGTTACAGTATATTTTTTATCATCACTGAATCCGTGATAAAAATACGAACATTTTTTATAAATATTAATTTTAAACGAGATATAATTAATCGAGAAATTTTGAATACAAAATTGCTTAACTTATTAAATATAACGTAAGGAAAAGAAATATTACATGGATTATCCTAAGAGGATCGAACTAAAACAAAACAAAAAAAAAAATAAGCAGCAAAATCGAAAATAATCTTTAACAGAAAAACGGTCCACTGCCTTATAACGAGCTCATACGCTTAATTAAACTTAACGATCATCGAGGCAAAGCAAAGTACAGCTTCCTTTTCGTTCGCTTGCGATTAACAAGTTAATTAACGTAGTAATTAATTAAATAAATTAACGGAAAAGTGGAGAACTCGCTTATCGAACTGAAAATGACAAATTAAATGAAGTGAAAGAGAACAAAGGTCGTTAAAACACAGGTTTCTGACAGTTTTAAACGCAAAATTACACACAAATACACCGTCCGATAGGATTAAAAAAAAGTAAAAATCTTCAATGGTGCATCCTAGGTTTTTTTTTTTACATATTTTCTCTATTGTACATAGAATACAAGCTATTATTATCTATTTTTGTTAAATATTTATAAATAACAGGAGTACGTTTATATAGCACACATCAGAAGACAAGAGAAAATATCTATTATATACAATTAGCGCCTACGCCGCGCGCGTGTGCTTAAGATTAAGTAAAATATGTACACCTATGTATATATATATGCACATATACCCTAATATGCATATATGTGTATATATATATGTATATGTATATATATATATATATATATATAAGGGTATATCTGTGTGTGTGTACATATGTATGCATACGTATGCATATATAGATCGAATAGATTAGGTATCAAAATGAAATGAGAAGGATATAAAAAGAGCATAAGACATTTCCATTAGTAGAATGTACGTTTGTTTAAATATATACAAATATATCCGACTCTATTGAATATTTGCCTTACGTCGAGGAAGTATAGTATAAGTGAAAATGTATTGTCCTATTGTTTGCGTGTATCGAATGGACGGAAAAAAATTTGCGGATAGAGTGATCGTAAGATTGAGATGGAGACAGTGAGAGAGTGTGAGGAATGAAAAAGTATATTTAGATTTTTTATGTAATCAAACGCAGACTTTGTATAATTTAGTTGAATAGTGGATAGCTCATTAAGGTGCCTATTATATAAATATTATATTGTATTTTATTACTGCATTCAACTATTATTATTAATACACAAAAAAGCAAATTATAAAGTCACCGCTGCTTGTGACGTCGAAAAAAATACGAAAATAAAAACCATTAAAAATAAGGAACTTTTTAAAAAGATTTAACTGTCGATCGAATGCTCATCGAATGAGAGAGACTGGACTAATCTTAGAAAAGAAATCTACTTAACGATAAAGTAAAACTATTTGTAATATTTTTTGTAAGAGATGAAAACATTGTGACTATACTATGTATGATCCGTGGGGATAAAAGAATAAATAATTACACTAATTAACGATATTTAAAGCAAAAACAAATGAGAGGATAGAAATATGAAATTATTAGCAGCGGTGTTTAAAGAAGTTGTGATAACCACTGTTTTACGAACGTTAGATTTGCCTGTGACGTAATTTTTGTGCAATGAGACTTTGCAGAGAGCGACATACGCGATGGACTTTTTTCTTTTTTTCTTTATTTGTGTAAATAGATTTGTATACGACGAGGCGAAGGAAATTCACATTTCGAAAATCCTATTGATGAAAAACATAGTGACGGGAATAAAGAAAAGGAAAAATTGTACTTCCGATCAAGTAGTTTTGCAAACAATATTATTAATAAAATGAAACGAGGAGAACGAGCATATACAAATTTGTACAGAAGTATTGTGTATAAATACTATATTTTACTAAGCCTCTTCTACTCTCGTTTTTATTATTTATTTCTCTCATGAACGTGCGAGTTTCATTTAAGTTTAGCTTTACACATACAACAACAGCAACAATAAATGGTGTATCTTCGTCGTGCGTTTTTTCTTTGCGCATCTCGTACACACAAACACAGATTTCTTCTTCATTAGTTTATTACTTTTAATTCTTTTTTTTTTTTTTAATTTTTTTTTATTTTTTATTATTTTGTTTGTTATATCGTCGATGAGTGACGGTATGCCATGAAACCTTGCCATTTACATCGTGGAAATTCCTCG